AAAGATCATCCGTAACCCGAAGTATCAATAAAATGTAGCAGAGAGTGTTGTGGTATACTTATAATTCTTTTGTATTCATTCATTTAATACCTTCTATTTATCTGTATAAACTGTTGTGTGTTTTTGCGTTGGTTCACGTCACATGATCTTGTGTTTATAAATAACGGTGGGATGCCTCTTTCTTCCTCTCCAGCATCCGTTCGTCCATATCTTCTAACTATGTAACTGGTAACTATGTATGCTTTTTTATGTTGAATAAAACCTTAATATTCAACTTTCTAAAAAGGTCTCTTTTCATTACATGAGAAACTGCACATTATTAAGTTTCTAAATAATAAAAATCTATTAAACAATAGACATGAGTTAATGGTTTTTTGCTGACATCATCAAATTTATGCACTGAATAATTAGCTAAAAGCAAGCATACAATATAATAATTTTTATAATCCATGGCCCAAATATATAGTTTAAATACCCTACAAAAAAAGATAACCCTTTATAAAGTTGTCTAAAAACAAATGTTGTGGCAGTTTTTTATATGCACAAATCCCTTTCATAAAGAAATAAAATAAAAAAATAAATAAATCTCCATACACACGTAAACCAGACTAGGCGAAAACATCTTCCGTTTCAAATTTAGACACCCCCACCTTACCCTGACTTGACATCTATGAAAGTAACTTTATACTGATACATATTATTAACACCCAACATGCCCCTAACTATTTTAAACAATCCACCCTGGCCGTTACCATGGAAATTTTGATTTCAATTATGAATATACTATTAAAACACGTAAATTTCAGAAATAAGTTATTCCAAAAAAAATTTCGCTTGAAGATGGAACAGAGCTTACTTTAACTCAATTTAATTCAAATAATTATATTGAAGTTTTCGGCTCTTGTTTTGAAACATGAGACCTTTTATGTCACGAGTTGGAATCATATTTTTAAATAAATAATTATATTTATGCTCTACTTTTGTATCGAGCACTATTTTTTAAAAATAATAACAAAAATACTAAGGAACTTTGGATTATTTACCTAACCAGTTCTTTCCTATTTTCTATATATTTTCACACATTATATATATATATATATATATATATATATATATATATACATGCACACATTGAAATATATGTATATATGATTACTGTGACTTGATTTTGAACTATGTCATCACTTGTCCAACTTTACATATGAGCAGTGCATCACTAACTTTTTAGTCCTGCTTGGGTCTTGCATAGACGTTGGTAATGTTGGGTATCTTTTGTAGTAGTTGTCGTAATGAATAACTTCTATTTGTGACAACTGATCAAGTGTGGCCACATTCACTGTTGTAAATTTTCAGTATATAATTCATGATTGATGTTTACACATAAATCAAAATTTAATTGAAATATTTGAAAATACAAAAATTCATCAGTTAAATGCCATATGTAACACATGTTTGGCAAATCATGTCTCTTTTAATTCATGACTCACTAGGCAGAAGATTTGCCATTTCTTTCTGTGGTAGACTGATTGCCAACCAAGGCTATAAGACTCAATCTGTCCTGTTATCCAGCCAATCTCTAATAATAATGGAAATACTTGCTGATGTGGAAACATTTGGTATTTATTAACCGAGCAGCCAGTTCTATGCCAGTTACGCATTTCTTTCATTCCCTGATTACTGAAATGGAATCAAAGTGTAGTATCAGTTCTTATCTCTAATCAGTCAGTTAAGTGCCATATGTAACACATGTTTGGACAATCATCTCTTTCAATTCATAACTCAATAAACAGAAGATTTTCCTGCAATAGGTTGCCATTTCTTTCTGTGGTAGACTGGTTGCCACCCAAGGCTAAAGAACCCAGTCAGTCCTGCTATTCAACACATAGCTGGGAACAGAAAAGATGGATTCCTACTTTTCCCAAGGGTATTTGTGTGTAAGTGAATGTAAAAAATCTGACAAAAAATTATCAGTTATTAAATAAGTTATACTTGTTTGAAATGTTAGTCTCTAAAAGAAGTTCTTTCATTACATCAGTTGTTCAAATTTTTATTTTTACACACCCTTCATTACACAAGCTATCAATACAGAAGGTGGAGAAATATAAAACATGTGCTATGACATGAAAGAACTTAAATTAGAAAACAAATAATTTTCATGTCAATGTTAATTCCATAAAACAATCAATTAGCAATTTTTTTTTTTAAATCACAGGGAAAAAAGGTCTGTTTAATCAAAAATTGGAATAAAATTAAAATGCATTTCTAAAGTTTATGTTTCTGGTGTCATTAAAAAGTTTCTCTTTAAAATGAAGCGGGAGAAAATAAAAAAAAGAATTTGAACACATAATGAAAAATAATGAGTATTGTTCGGGTCATCAGTGCTCATCAAGCAATTAGTGCATTTGCCAAGGAAGGTCAAATCAAAGAAAAATTAATCAACAGTGCACATGTTCACATCATACAAAAGCATTAAATTTATTGTTATTTCCTCAGTTTAGTTAATTTTTGTACATGATTAAAATAGGGAAAAAGGCAATGGACGAACTGTACAGCACCAATATTACAAAGGAAGAGCATCTGTCTCATTGAAAATGAGCATTCAAAGTTTTAGTTTTTATCTGGATTCAAGACCTGACCATTAGAACAAGGGAGACATCTGCAACTATTTCAGCCACAAAGCAGGAAACAAGCCTTGAATTTATTTCAATTAATTATAATTTCAATTGCAAATAAAAAAGTCAAAACATTTATTTTCTATCTGCTCAAAAATAACAGTAAACAATTTCTGTCTGATTTTTACAATGAAGATTTGTCTTTATTCGACATTGATGAACTTGGACAATTATTTGCATTTTGGTTGTTATAGACAAAGTGCTTTTTTGTTTAACCAGCAACTTCTGATCTTCTTCAAATGGCTGTTATTCTGATTTAGACATTCAGCCAGAACAACAGACAGATAATGTTGTGTTATTTTACCACAACTATAACATGTAATTTTACAAAAGGATGCTGAGAATACCATGGACTGAATATATGAATAATGAGGAAGTTTTAAGGAAATTAGAAATGAAAAGGACACTTAGGATCAGAAAGAGACAGTTGAAATTTCTAACACACATAAGGAAAGAGGGCTTGGAAAATTTGATACTTACATGATGTGTTGAAGGTAAAGTAGTACTGACTGTTCAGTTAATGAACAACAAATCTTTTTCTTATAACAAAACAGCTAATATTACTCATTGCAGTGCTGATGTACATGATCTGCCCAGGCTGAGGTTGAAAATAAATTTTATCTCACAAATTCTGGAAAATCACCAACCAAATTATGAAGAGAAACAAAGTGCCTGTGCCCACTATTATAAATGGTCCTGAGGTCATATCATCCTCAACAGACAAGATCTTTGCCTCAAACTCAACGTCAGATGATGAAGGCCATCCTCTCCCCAAATTCCCACCTCTCACAATCTCAGTAATATACTCATTTCTGCAAGAGATGTCTCTAGACTAATCAAAAACCTCGACCCCGAAAAATGCCACTGGTTGTCCTTAAGCATATCAGCCCAGAATTATCCCAGATTCTAGAAAAGTTACTGCTGTTTGAATGAAAAATCTTTCCCAAGCATGTGGAAGGTGGCAAGCGTATGTCCTGTCTTCAAGAACGTGAGTAACCGATCCTCTCCCTCCCAGTATAGACCCATTAGTCTCCTCAGTATCATCAGTAAGCTTTTGAGGCCTTAATCGACAAGAAGGTCAACAAGAACCTGAATAGGAACAGTCTCTTGTGTGATGAGCAATATGGATTTCAATCATCTCGGCCCACTGCTGACATTCTAACTACCATTACACACAGAATTAGTGAGGCCCTTGACAAGACAAATACCACATGGACCCTCTAGCCATCTTGAGGTATCTGTTATTTCTATTTGACTACCCATATTTGGTGGTGGGGGGAATATCATAGAATCCAACTATGCTTTTATCAATGTTGTCAAATTTCCATTACCACTCAAGCATATGTTTATTTGCCAATTATTATTACAATGGTGCAAGATGCCTGAAAAATATGGCAACAATGGAAATATTTGATTAGGACAGAGAAGACTTCTTACAAGAAAAAACTTTCTCTCTGATGAAGATCTTGCAGTGTTTCAAGACTGACCAGCCCGTAGCAATGTCCTCCAACTCACATTGTAATTCCTGCCAAAGGGAAGCATACTGATTATGACATTTAATATTCTTAAATATTTAAATAAATCTAAGTAGCAATACCTATGAAAATTTCATTTTATTTTAATTTTCTGATGAATCTTAGCTCTTAATTTAATGACAGAATAAGCTCATGGCGAGTTCTACGACAATAAAATATCTGTAGAAATTCCCCTATTACATCGGTAAATATTTGAGCTTAGGAAATTTAACAAAATATTGCAATAGCAATCGTGAATATAAATGCTGGCCATTATTAAGTAAGTAAGAGGGTACAAATAAAACAATTCAAAATCAACAAGGTTTTCCATTTCATTTTCACTAAAGTAGATATTAGACACATTAGAGCATTATCGACTCTTTGCCCTTCCCTTCCCTAAAATCAAACAGCATCTTTGATATATATTTACTTTTATCTATCCTTGCAATCAAATAAGAACAGCCCAGTATTTATCTCAGGTAATGACAGGATGTAACATCTGTGCTAACAAAGAAAAAAAAATTATAATATGATGCAATTTTTCCTTTAGTCATTTATAAATTCTGAATACCCTATTTCCAGTATCCTTATGTATTCAGATATTTACCTCTCTTTGTGTCAGTGTGACTACAAGACCTTAAACGATAGTTCTGATTGACCACAAATACTATTTCTGAAATACATTGTCAAACATTTAGGTTTTTAGTAAAAAATAAATTGATTTTTTTTTAGCAAGGTAGCCAATTTCTTTTGCTTGCCACTTTGTGTATACATGTGTGTAAACAGAACAGGTAAAAATATTATTGTGACATACCTTGTTGAACCATCCTCTGCAGTGTAAGAGCTTAAATAGAATCCACTTAATATTTCAAGCAGGTGATATCTGAAGTAGATACGCAGGTCAAACAACTCGTTTATCTCAAGAGGACGATCCAGTTTAATATACATAAGACTATTTGCTTGATAGAAGAGAACTTCTCGGGTGCCAATGACTTCATTGTTAAAATGGGAATGAACAGTTATTTCTGTGATGTTCATTGAATCCACATGTAAAACAATAAAATTAGTAGAACTTGAAGTTTGGCATAAAATGGTCACATTTCCTATGACCAGGGTGGTGGTTAAGTTGGGATGAAGAAACAGATCATAGGTCCAAGGTTGAATGGTGTTTGGCAGACGAATATGGTTCCATGGAAACAACTTGCCATTGTAAGATATTGGTTCTGGTTTCGTGTTATTGACCTCTTCCGGAGGGATGATCACAGGTTCCTGGGTTGTGGTGTAGCATGTAGGAGTCTCGGGTCGAGCAAATGATGCAATAAATGCCACAGCTAAGATAACGGCGCATACTACAATACCCACAGTTAAGGCCAT